ACCAACCTCCTCCCATGGGGTGTTCTGGCCCAGCGTGATCGGTCAGTGTGGTCAGCTGCCCCGGAAGCCCTCCCGGGGGACCGGCGGGCCGTATCCTTAGCCAGAGAGCGGCGAGCGTGGGGTGGAGGGGACAGCTCCATCTGTGCTGGGTCCCAGGCACGTGGGCTTGTCAGCAGCAGATACTCAGTTCTGGAACATCTCCGGACATCCCACCTCCCGGCCCAGAATGTCCTCTTCTGATCATCAAGTCTGCATGTCGCCCCTCGTGCTGGAAAATCACGGTCAGAAGACAGTGAACGTCATTTACGGTTCGGGGAGAGCGCGGCCCTGGGGGCAGAGCGGGGACTGTCCCTTGGGCGGCGTTAGGCATTTCTGGGGAAGATTCTGGCCACGGAGCTTTCTGGAAAGGCCGTTCCCACAGTGTTGTTGTGAAGATTCCTTTGACTCCCTGCCCTTGACTACCCTGCAACCCAGACAGTTCATCCTCGTGAGAACAGGAGACAGGAAGGGACTGCGGAAAATCAGAGGCTTTCCTGGAATCCCGAGGAGGAGGGGAAGGGGTGCCGTCCAGAAATAACGGACCCGTTTCCGCCTGACGACTCCCAAAGTGGCCTCACGTTTGGAAGCCCCTGGATCCACAGAAAGTGGCTGGTGCCGGGACCGCAATGCCCATGGCCCCATGGAAGGGGGGGATCTATGGAAGGGGGGCCCTGATGGCTCTTTCCCTCAAGAAGGTGGCTTCTGGCCTCGCAGAAGGTGCAACCCCCCATTCCCACTTGGAACCCCTTTGCTGCACCCCAGCCTCTCAAGGGGGCTGCAGGGCTGCTGAGACGCACCCAGAGCCTGGGCTCTGAAAGGCGCGTCGCTGGCCTCAGCCGCACTCAGCCACTGTGGCTGCCCAGAGGCTGGGGTCACTGAATGGCGGTTTGTGGGGTTTGTGGTCATGACAGATCGCGTAGCTCGAGCACTTGGAGCTCCATGTTTCCCGAAGGTCCCTTTGTAGGAGGCACAAACTGACAACGTATCTAAAATGAAGTTACATAGTATCCATGATTTGCCACACCCTCCTGTGTGTCTGCACTGTGTGCTGGTGGTGTTGTATCCTCATACATGTTACATGTGTAGAGCTGTGTGTGTGCCCGTGTATATTGTGTATGTGTGTCTGTGTGTACTGTGTGTGTATGCATTGTGTCACTTTTATGTATGTGAATACATTGTATATGTGTGTCATATATGTGTGTGGTATATGTGAGGTTTACATGTGCATGTTGTGTATGTGTATTATATGTGTGTTATGTGTATCATGCAATGTGCCGCGTGTATCATATGTGCACATTGTGTGTGTACATGTATGCATATGTACGGATATGTGTACGTGTACGTGCATACGTGTGTGTGCACGCATGGAGCGGAGATGAGGGGCTGCTCTGCTCCATGGCTGTTGAAGATGCGTGATGGGCCTTGAGGGTCCCACACTGGAAGGTGAAAGGGGTGGTAGTAAGCAGGGGGGAAGCTCACCTCTGCACACCTTCCTGAGTGCGGTGCTGGCCCCAGGGTCTCTGCCTGGGGGATTGCACTGCCTGAGCGCCAGGCAGCTTGCTGGCCGTTTTAGAGACCCATGGAGGCTCCTGAGGCACACCCTGTGGTCATCACCGTCACCTCCACTTAGGCTGTAACTTTACCGTTGTTTAGGGGAGGGGGAGAGAGAGAGAGAGGATGCATGCCACCCGTCTGCCCTTTTCTTTTGGAAGTCCCATTGGGGTGCCTGGGTGGCTGTCGGTTAAGCGTCCGACTTCAGCTCAGGTCATGGTCTCACGGTTCATGGGTTCGAGCCCCACATCAGGCTCTGTGCTAACAGCTAGCTCAGAGCCTGGAGCCTGTTTCGGATTCTGTGTCTCCCTCTCTCTGACACTCCCCTGCTCACGCCGTCTCTCTCTCCTAGAAATAAATAAAACATTAAAAAAAAATCACTGGGGCGCCTGGGTGGCTTAGTCGGTTAAACGTCCGACTTTCGCTTAGGTCATGATCTCGCGGTTTGTGGGTTCGAGCCCCGCGTCGGGCTCTGTGCTGACTGCCAGCTCAGAGACTGGAGCCTGTTTCAGTCTGTGACTCCCTCTCTCTCACCCTCCCCTGCTCACGCTGTCTCTCTCTCTCTCTCTCTCTCTCTCTCCTAGAAATAAAACATTAAAAATAAAAAATCACTGAGGTGCGCCCACAAACGATGCCCATCACGCTCCTTCCCCTCTCCCCCAGCCCCATCAGCCCTCAGTTTGTTCTTGGTATTCAAGAGTCTCTCATGGTTTGCCCCCCTTCCTCTCCCCCACTATTTTCTCCCCTTCTCTTCTCCCATGGTCCTCTGTTAAGTTCCTATAGTTCCACTTATAAGTGAAAATACATGATATCTGTCCTTCTCTGCCTGACTTATTTCGCTCAGCATAACACTCTCGAGTTCCATCCATGTTGCTGCACATGGCCAGGTTTCATTCTTTCTCATTGCCATGTAGTATTCCATGGTATAGATAAGCCACATCTTCTTGATCCATCCATCAGTTGATGGACAGTTAGGCTCTTTCCATGTTTTGGCTATTGTTGAGAGTGCTGCTCTGAACATTGGGGTGCATGTGCCCCTATGCATCAGCATTTCTGTATCCCTTGGGTAAATTCCTAGCAGTGCTATTGCTGGGTCATAGGGGAGTTCTATTGTTAATTTTTTGAGAAAACTCCACACTGTTTTCCAGAGGGGCTGTGCCAGTTTACATTCCCATGAACAGTGTAGGAGGGTGCCCGTTTCTCCACATCCTCGCCAGCATCTAGAGTCCTCTGATTTGCTCATTTTAGCCACTCTGACTGGTGTGAGGTGGTATCTCAGTGTGGTATTGATTTGTATTTCCCTGATGAGGAGGGATGCTGAGCATCGTTTCATGTGTCTATTGGCCATCGGGATGTCCTCTTTGAAGAAGTGTCTGTTCATATCTCCTGCCCATTTCTTCACTGGCTTGTTTGTTTTTCAGGTGTGGAGTTTGGTAAGTTCCTTATAGATTTTGGATACTAGGCCTTTATCTGATATGTCATTTGCAACTATCTTTTCCCATTCTGTGGGCTGCCTATTAGTTTTATGGATTGTTTCCTTTGCTGTGCAGAAGCTTTTTATCTTGATGAGGTCCCAACAGTTCATTACCATCAAGCTATCTTTAAACAGCTCAGTGAAGTCGCCTTCAGCAGTCCCCGATGGAGGCACAGAGAGGTGAAGGGATTTTACTCAGGGTCACACAGCACACTGTAAATGAGCCTTCCCAGCTCAGTGTCCTCCCCACTGGGCACACGTACCTCTCAGGCTCTCTAGATTGCTGACGCTCTGCCTGCTCGTCTTTTCTCTCTCTCTTTCCCTCCTTCCCTCCGAGGGGCAGGATTTTACCTAGGGGGACTGGGGCCTCTCCGCCTCCTCTGAGCTCACGCTGCAGCAGGTCACGGGGCTCAGGGGAAGCTCGTGTGTGGAGAGCTGCAGTGCCTTTAAAGGCCTTTAAATTCCCCGAAAGGAGCCTCGCTTGCGGGCCTCCCTGAAGGGGAATTGAGGGAGTAGCTGGGCCTTGGGCCCAGGCGGCGGCAGGTGGGGCACATCCTATGGTCCACATAACATTCCCCACAGCTGACACGTCCCATGTTGAACTTCCGGGCAGCTCTGTACTCTTTAGTTATTTTTAGTGGAAGAAATACACTTCTATGAGGGAAGTGCAGAACCTCAGCAACAACGCCTGGCACATGACAAGTGGCCCTCGTATGAGGAATAATGTCTGAACTACCTTGGTTCTGGGAGGACAATAGCTTCTTGACTTTCAGTTTCCCGTGTGTTCCTGGTAGGAATGCCCCACCTCCCATTTGAACTTCAAAGTCCCCTTTGGGGTCTTTCAAAATGTCTTCTTTAGGGGCACATTGGGTGGCTCAGTCAGTTGGCATCTGACTTTGCTTAAGTCATGATCTCAAAATTTGTGGGCCTGGAGCCTGCTTCGGATTCTGTGTCTCCCTCTCTCTCTGCCCCTTCCCCACTCACACTCTATCTCTCTCTCAAAAATGAATAAATGTTAAAAGAAAAAATTAAAAATGTCTTCATTAGAAAGTACAAGCCCTCTGGGAGGAAGAATGCCTCCAGAAGTCACTTACACTATAGTATGAATTATGATAGCTTCATGGTTCTCTCAGGGTTCACAGGCTGCCTGGGAAGCAGGGAGGGTGCTTTGGAAGGTGGGGCAGTGGGAACCCCTGAAGGAGCCGTGGGTGGGACTCCATTTCTTTCCTAACTTCTTGTTTTTTCTGGGTGACTGCCTGGTAAAATAGGGCATAATTGTTGCATTGGGTTGACCCAGGAGGTTGCCGGGTGTGGGTGTTCTGGGCAAGGTGGTCCTCACAGATGAGGGGACAGAGGCCTTGTCCTAGGCGTGTGGGGAGACAAGTGAGGGCCTGCTTGCCTGGGACTCCACCTCACTCTGTGCTGCCCTGCTGGTCTGGACACTGCTTCTGGGACCTGCGGATGTGGAGGGTGGGGGGTGGGGGCCCGTCAGTGCACAGTGCAGGCTCCTTCACGCTTTTGTATTCTGTGCCCTCTGCACACACAGTTTTTAAACCAATTAATTGATGACAGGAGGAAAGAAAACAAAACAGATTTGCCTTCCTTTTATGTATCCATCCACCATTTCTTGTGTGTGTATCTGTGTGGCATGCAGGGTACAGGGGTGAGCAGAGCAGACGTTCCCCCTGCCCCCTAGTTCCGGAGATGTCGTTAACAGGGAGGGTGGTGGCCAGCAGGGCCAGGTGGGTGGGGGAGGTGGACTTGGGGGTGCCCTGGAGGCCGGGGTCTGCGCTGCCTGGAGAGGCCATCAGAGTGGAGCCCTGAGGTGCTAGAGGAGCAGGGTCCGGCAACCCCCCCCCCCCCGCCACGGCTGCACCTGTGAGTGCGACAGACCAAGTCAGCTGCCGCACTGAGCCCGCCCTCTGTCTTCCCACAGGAGGAGGCCAGGCAGATTCTGACGCAGCAGAAGTCAGACTCCCACGACGAGGAGGTCTCTCCGACCCCGCCAAACCCCGTGGTGAAAGCCCGCCGCCGCCGAGGGGGTGTGAGTGCCGAGGTGTACACGGAAGAGGATGCCGTGTCCTATGTGAGGAAGGTGGGTCCACTCCCAAGCCCCGGCCCCCAGGGTCCCCACCGCTCTCCCGTCTGGTGGGGGAGGGGCCAGTGTGATGGCAACGTCATGGTCACAGTCACAGCCCTCCTGTGGGGTTTCCCGACCCAAGAACTCTGGGAATTCCCTCCTCCACGTTGCTGTTCCTCGGTGTCCCTCCTTCGAGGATGGCGCCCAGCCTGCTGCTGCCACTCGCGAGCAGGTGCACCTGTGCCAGGGTGCGCTCTGGAGCGCGAGAGCACAAGCGGTGCCCCTGTGCCCATAGGTGTGTGGGCCCGGCCCCCTGTCTGCCCCCTGGCCCCCCTCCTTGGCCCCCTGCCCACCCTGTCGCTGACAGATGTGGGACCTGCTACTTCCATCTTGTGTGTTTATAGCCTCATTTTTACTTTTCTTGGTATTTTTAGTGTTGCTCCTTTTAAGAAATTTAATCAGGCATCTTACCATCTCTGTGAGCCTGGGAGGCTGGGGCGCAGACTTTCTCTCACGGTCTGGAGGCCAGACATCCGGGAGCAGGTGCCGGCTGGTTCCTGGTGGGAGCCGCGTGGCCTCCTGTGATCTTGGGGGTCGAGGAGAAGGGAGAGTGGGCCCTCGGGGTCTCTTCCCAGGAGGGCGTGGATCCTGTCAGGGCTGCCTCCGGACACCATGCACTGGGGCCTGGGCTTAAACACACGGGTTTTGGGGGCACTTGGGTCCAGGGAGCCACTTTTCAGTGAGCGGCTCCGGGGCACTGAGCACATTCACGCTACTGAGCGGCCGCTGTCCCCACCATCCCCCTCCACGCTGAGACCCTGGCCCTGTTACACGCTGACCCCAGCACTTAATACTTTTCCAGTCAGAGATTAGGAACCACTGCAAGTGTTGTTTAAAACCTGCCAGGGCCCTTTACCTCCGTGGTCTTCCTTCCCCAGCCCAGAACCCCCGACAACCTGGAGAAGGTCCCAAACAAACCCAGGTTGACAGACATTCTGCACAGTATGTGAGCAGCACCCCTCAGACCCGTCCAGGTCATCAGACCAGGGGCGTCCTGAGCAGCTGTCCAGAGCCGGGGGAGCTCAGGGCGCTGACACTCAATGTGACCTGGGGGAGGCCTAGGGTCATGGCGAGCCGCTGGGGTGAAACTGAGGACATGCTGCCACCAGGCACTGTGGCTGGTTCCGCGGCTCTGATGTGTTCCCGAGCAGTATCAGGTGCGAGCAGTGGGGCAAAGTGGCTGCAGGGTATGGGCACTGTCTTCAGCTAATTTTCTGTAAATCTGAACTATTCTAAAATAAAAGGCTTATTTTTAAAGAATAAATCTTTAGGGGCTTGGGCCCCATCTCTCAAAGCTCCCTTGGTAAAGACCATGGTATTAAATGTAACGTGCACATATGTGGGGGCCCCATGCCACACCCCAGCCCAGCAGAGATTCCTAGCAGCTCAGCTCTGAGGGGGGGTCACGTTACAGCTCAAATAGCCCTGCCACTGGGGCCTTTTATTTTAAGGGAGAAATCTTGGCGTTTGAGATGCTCGTAACTTGAGGTGCAGGTGCTTTTTGCCGTTTGGTCGGTGACTGATTTGTTGGGCACCTGCTTACTAGGAGCTTCGGCCAGGCAGGTCTGCTGCAGCAGATGCCTCCCCATGCCCAGTTATCGGCAGGGGCCTGACCCCCCTTCCAAGGCCCCCCATCACCATGCCCAGTTATCGGCAGGAGACAACCTCCCTTCCAAGACCCCCCCCATCACTACCTAGGAGAGTGAAGGTCGATTTGGGTGTGGCTCCAAATGTGGTGCAAGTTGTTTTTTTTTTCTTCAGTCTTCAAATATTTACACAAGTATTTTATTATCTTAAAACAAAACCACTGAAATAAACCAACAGAAGAAATGATAATCCAAGGGACTGGAGGTGTTGTAGCTTTGTCTAGGGGTCCCTAAGGCCACCAGAGCTGTCCACAAGGCCCCAACTCCACAAGGCCCCACAGGGCCACCTCTTAGGTCACTGTGTCTTCTTGTCTTCCCCTCCTTTCATCTTGTTGGTTACAGCGATGGTGACATACACGTCACACCCCGGTTGTCCATCGTTTTGGTGTTGGTAACATGCCAAAGGTCAGACAGTTCTGTGTCTAACACGTCACAGTTTCTCGGGATCCCGCAGGTGCTAGGAGGGGCCGGGCCTGAGCTCCGACCCTGGGGGGTGTCCGGGAGTCTGACTTCCTCGGGTTTCCCCTGCAGGTCATCCCCAAGGACTACAAGACCATGACGGCGCTGGCCAAGGCCATCTCCAAGAACGTGCTGTTTGCTCACCTGGATGACAATGAGAGAAGGTAGGACCCAGGGAGAGGCAGGGCTGGGATTGACACCCCTCCCAGGGGCCTTGCTGGTGGCCTGCCCTAAACCCGGGGACGTGGCCGCAGGGCACACACACGCTTGCACAACATGGGCGGCTTCCAGAAGTAACTTGCTATGTGCACCTGGCTGTCTTCGACACCAGGTTAGGATCTGCGGCTTCTGTGTGACTTTGTCATTGACAGACACTGTGGGGCTCCTTTGCTCTGACCACCAGAGGCCTAGTCTTCCAGCACCTTCTACATGCAAGGATCTTGCTGGGCTGAGCTCACTGCCCGGTGGGGAGATGGGGCTGGCAGGCAGGGCTCTGGGTCCAGGAAGGTGACTGACCAGGCGGTGATGTCAGTCACATGGTCCTAAAGGGCCTCAGGAATGGCTGTGGGGTGGGGTCTTTCCAAGGACGGGCACCCGGCGGCTGGGAGGGCCTCAGGTGCCGTGCTTGCGAATTGATATCCTGCAAATCGCTGGGAAAATCAGATTCCTGGAGCTCATTGCTGGGAACATTTTGGGCGATCCTTGAGGCTTTACTTAGAGCTGCGTGTGCTCTAATTCGACGTTGTCACAAAATGGGATCACATTCTGAGGGTTTGTCACATTACAAGGTCTTGGACGTCCCTTTTTGTCAGTAAAGGCTTTTTTGGGGCTTAACGTATCAATTTCCAGGGAGTTGCTGTAACTTCCTCCCTTTCCCTCCGTGGCTGTTTCTTCCTTCAAGCTAAGCTCCTCGGTGTGGATGAAAGGCTGTGCAGTGTTTTCATTCTCTTTCATTTTTGGTGAATTATGTTTGTTGGTTAGGTAACCATCATTCTGATGACAGTCTTACACAGAATCAGAGTGACGCGCAAACCTGCAGAGTAAGGAGAGAAAGTCCCATCGCAGCCTTGATCCATCACCCTCACGGGCCCTTCCACCTGAGCGTCCAGGATTGACATCTTCAGGGCTCTGCACTGCGCAGCACGAGGGTCGTCGGGAGGCTGGCAATTCCCAGATGCTGTAGTGCCTAGCGAACAGGAAGGAGAGTGTTCCCACGGGATGGGCCCCCCAGAGGAGCTGGGCCAGGGAGGTGGGGCGTGGGGTCCCTGCAGGTGATGGGGCGTTTTCCAGGGATTTCGGCAGCACTGCACAGACCGGTCATCCCGGAAGGCTGCCCATGGCCTGGTACTTCCGGAGTCCACCAGATGGAGGTGGCTGGCGCCGTGTCCTTGCAAGAGGGGAGCATGGGGGAGGAGGCTGCTCAGAAGAGGAGAAGCCCGTGACCAAAGAGGCAGAGATGAGCAAAGCGGCCTCAGGATGGCCGGAGGGGTCCCCTCCAGAGGCTCCAAGGGCACTTGGCCTTGCTGCACCTTGATCTCCACCTGCTGCTGCTGAGTCTGGGCTCCTGGCCTCCAGGACTGGGGACAGTTCCCTTGTTCTGAGCTATCCCATAGTGTCCATCTGGCAGGTATGTCCTTGGTCACCGGGTGGGACCAGATGACTCAGAGTTGTCTCTTTATTAACTTGAACGTAAACATAAAAAACTCAGTCCAAATTTAAATCTGGCTGCTAATAGGATGGTGCATTCACATGGGTCAAAATTCAGACGGTGCTGGGGGTCCAGAGTGAAAGGTGAGCTGTCTGAAGATGGCCCCGGGACCCTGGGCTGTCTCTGTGGACAGACTCAGCACCTCAGGCAGGAGGTCAGACACTCCCCATGGCAGCCACACAGACCACCGTCCATTCTTCAGCTGGTTTCAGTCCTTGGGGAACAGATGGACCATGCCTGGCTCTATAGGGGTCCTGGCACTTCAGTGCCAGTTTTGGGGGACGAGGAGCCTCTCTGGGTAGAGACACTGTGGGCACACAGGTGCCTGAGTGGAGCAGGGCAGACCTTGATGCCCGAGCTGGCCCGGCATGTGCACCTGTGTGCTGTGGGTGCGGGCTCTGTGGTCACCCCGTCGTGACCCGAGTGTGGGGAGGGAGTTCCAGGATGCCAGGATTTGGGCTGGCTCGTGTGGAAGGTTAGTTTTGTTCTCGGGGCCTTGGTCTCCCGGTCCGGTCTGCATTAAGCTCCTGTGGGACCTGCTGAAGGACCAGAACTTGGTGTGTGTTGGTGGGGAGGGGCTCACCATTATTCTTGCTTATGGCAGCGGCCATGATGGTGACCCACGGAAACTTCTCCTTGCTCGTGTGTTCCCAGGCGCGAGAGCAGACCCACTTTGGCTCCCGCATGTGGTTTGGGGTCTCGGCACGTGGTGGCCATGCAGCGGTTGCCGGGGCTGAGGGCGTGGCATCTGGGGCTGCATGAGGGTGACCGGAGGTAACAGTGTGTGTGCGCCATGCTGGCCACTGGAAATCGACTTTATCTGACTAGGGGCGCCCAGTTGTCACCCAGGTCAGGGCGGGATTGCAGTGTCTCCTGGGCTCCGCACAGGTGCCGAGGGCGGTGGAGCGGAGGACGGGCTCCTGCCTCGAGCAGCCGGCCTCCCAGGGAGGTGTCCGTCCAGGGAACGCAGACACCCACCAGTTCGGAGGCTGTGCTGTGACAGTCATCCGGGGAGGCCCCAGCTGTGTAGGATAGGGTGACCATCCCCAGGGTGGGCGCAGCCAGGCGGAAAGCTGGGTCGTGGCGGCAGGGACCTGCTGAGTGCCCGCTGTGCTCCGGACACTGTGCTGCGCTGGCGTCACCGGGCTCATGGCGGTGCTCGGCGTGTGGCCAGAATCTCGGGACTGTCTTCACCCCCCGGAGATCCTGACTGTGTGCACCAGAGCCCTCGCGTGGCCGCAGGGAGACTGACCGAGGAGGGGAGACTGAAGACGGGCTCCCGGAAGGTCAAGCTCCCACCCGGCTTCTGCCCAGCGTGCGCTCACAGACAAACCCTCGGAACAGAGTCACACAGTGTCCGTCCTTCTGTGTCTGCTTACGCCCTCGGGGTGCACTGAGCTGTAGCTGTCAGCACCTCCTTCCTTTCTGAGGATGGGGGGGTCTCCCTGTTGTGGGGGGCCACCACGTGTTTGTCTGCTTCTTGGCTGACAGACACTGGGGCTGCTCCCACCTTTTGGTCATTGGGAAAAATGCTCTGGTGAATGTGGGCCTCTGAGTCGTTCGGATGTGAACCCAGAACTGGCTTGGTGGCTCCTTCCGTGGAGCCCAGGTGCCCCCTGGGAGGCAGCTATGTTCGAGCCACACCCTTCCCACCCTTTGGTGGCCCCATCCCAGCTCCCAGGCACTGGCTGGTTGGGGGCCAGTGTGGCCTGCAGGCACGCTGATCTAAGTGGTATCTCTGGCCACGTGTGTCCAGGAAGTGTCTGTGTGGGGGTCCTGTGCCCTTGGCCCAAACTTTCCAGAATCTGGCCGTTCCCACTGCCTCGGACTTTTCCGGATCCGGGAGCCAGGTGGACAAAAGTGCAGGAAGCAGATGGTTGGATTGAAAATTCCTCTTTGCAAGGCTGGCTTAGGAAGAGAGCTTTCTGTCAGGGGATGTGTCTGTGGTTCAGATCTTTGTTTTGCCCTCAGGAAAACTCACTTTCCATATTGAAACGCTGAGAGGCTCCATTTTCTGGCCAGGGCCTCTAAAGGAACAGGCTGATGGACCAGGAAGTGGGCTCCAGGGGGGCTGGGGCCCGGACTCGTCTCTTGACTTTCATCCAAATACTTCGCTTTTTCCAGTTCAGGAGAAGCCGGGCTCAGCAGCGTGGGCTGTGGTTTGGGGCCCATCCTTTCCAGGTTAACAGGGCTCCCTGCACGTCTCCACTCAGAGGCTACCTCCCATGTGGATCCCCGGGACTGAATCCACTGGGGGTGGGCACACCTTTGTGCCGAAAGCCGCCCCCTCCCCCCCCACCCCCCAGCCCCAGCTCAGGTGTGAGACCGGCAGGCCTGTGGTCGCACACTGGGTGGTTTTGCTCTCGTCGGTCAATGTCAGCGTCTCTCCTTCAATCCGTGTGCAGGTCCTTCTGCCTGCGGAGACGCAAGCCTTCTGTTCAGTTTTTTCTTGAAAAGAAGGTGATGCTACATAGCCGTGGGAGGCAGCTTCTGACCCCACACCACTGCCTGTCTCCTAGGAGAAAGTGTCCCCTGAAGGCTCTCCCTGGGACCCCTGCTGACAGGTCAGAGCCTCGGGCCCCCTTGTGCATAAAAAGGGGGTGTCGTTTGCCCAAGGCCACACGCTTGGCACAGCAGAGCCAGGGCTCCAGCATGAGTCTCAGGGCTCCAAGGCCGTGCTCCACCTCCCTCACTCCTCTCATGATGGGTCACATGCGTCTGCAGGAGGAAGGAACGTGGTCGTTGGGGGGGGTCTGGTGAGCGAGAGGGAGGACCAGGAGGCCCCCGAACTCAGTGGCAGGCCAGAGATTTCTTAAACACGCACACATCTCCACTCACACACATGCGTCTACGCACACAGAAATACACATGCACACATACATATACAACGCACACATGCATACATGCACACAGCCACACTCATACATGCATGTACACACAACACACACATACACACATTTGTGCTACAGAATCGAACGTACGTTGAAATGTCTTTTGGAAGGAGACTGTTGAATTGTGTCTTTAGATTTTGCAGTAACATTCTTTGGGATTCCGTTTCCTCAAGTGTCAAACGAGAGTAATAAAACCTACTTTGAGGGTTGCAGTGAAGACGGATTGTAGTAACATCCGTGGGTATATCATCGTCTGGTGTGTCATCATCCCTGTTCTTATCGTGCTTATAATCATCACCACCACCACCACCACCATCACCACCGTCACCACCACCGTCACCGCCATCCCCACCACTGTTACCACCACTGTCACCACCTCCATCACCACGATCACCATCGCTGTCATTTCCATCATTATCATCATAATCACAGTCATCATCATTTTCATCGCCATCATCATGACTATCATCATCACCGTCATCACCATTGTCCTCCCCCTCCCCCTCCCTGTCATAATAATCATCATCATTCTCTTTCTGGCAGCTGTTTGGCTATGTGGAGGGCA